GACACCCAAGACGGGACGGTTGTGGCAGAGAGGTCAGACCAAGCGTGATCCCTGGGGAAGGCAATGGCAAACCACTCCAGTATCCTTGCCAAGAAAACTAAATGGACCAGTACAACCAGAGATATGTCGGTATGCCATTGGAAGATGGGACTCCCAGGTCGGAAGATGGCCAAAATGCTACTGGGGAGGAGCAGCGGATAAGTTCAACTAGCCCCAGATGTGATGACGCAGCTAGCTCAAAGCCGAAAGGAAGGCTAGCGGCCGACGGTACTGGAGGTGAACGACGAATCCGATGCTCTAAAGATCAACACACCATAGGAACCTGGAATGTAAAATCTATGAGCCAGGGCAAATTGGATGTTGTTATTGGTGAGATGTCAAGACTAAAGATAGACATTCTGGGGGTCAGCGAACTGAAATGGACTGGAATGGGCCACTTCACATCAGATGACCACCAGATCTACTACTGCGGACAAGAGGAACCTCGAAGAAATGGAGTAGCCTTCATAATTAATAAGAAATTCGCTAAAGCAGTGCTTGGATACAACCCAAAAAATGACAGAATGATCTCAATTCGAGTGCAAGGAAAGCCTTTCAACATTACAGTGATCCAAATATACGCCCCAACCACAGCTGCTGAAGAAGCAGAAGTAGATCAGTTCTATGAGGATCTGCAGGAACTACTGGAATAATACACCAAAAAGAGACATTATTTTCATTACAGGAGACTGGAATGCCAAGGTGGGAAGTCAAATGACAACAGGGATCACAGGCAAGCATGGTCTGGGAGAACAAAATGAAGCGGGACGCAGGCTGATAGAATTTTGCCAGGAAAACTCGCTCTGTATAATGAATACTTTCTTCCAACAACCTAAAAGACGGCTTTACACATGGACCTCACCAGACGGTCAACACCGAAATCAGATTGACTACATCCTTTGCAGCCAAAGGTGGCGGACATCCATCCAGTCGGTGAAAACAAGACCTGGGGCTGACTGTAGCTCAGATCACGAACTTCTTATTGCCCAATTTAGAATAAACTAAAGAGATCAGGGAAAATACACAGACCAGTTAGATATGATCTCACTAACATTCCTAGCGAATATACAGTGGAAGAGAAGAACAGATTTGAAGGACTAGATTTAGTAAACAGAGTCCCAGAAGAACTATGGACAGAAGTCCGAGACATTGTTCAGGAGGCGGCAACAAAGTACGTCCCAAAGAAAAAGAAAACCAAGAAGGCAAAATGGTTGTCTGCTGAGACACTGGAAGTAGCCCAAGAAAGGAGGAAAGCAAAAGGAAACAGGGATAAGGGGAGATATGCCCAGTTAAATGCGCAATTCCAGAGGTTAGCCAGAAGAGATAAGGAACTATTTTTAAATAAGCAATGCATGGAAGTGGAAGAAGACAACAGAATAGGAAGGTCAAGAGACCTCTTCCAGAAAATTAGAAACATTGGAGGTAAATTTCAGGCAAAAATTGGTATGATAAGAAACAAAGATGGCAGGGACCTAACAGAAGCTGAAGAGATCAAGAGAAGGTGGCGAGACTATACAGAAGATCTGTATAGGAAGGATAATAATATTGAGGATAGTTTTGACGGTGTGGTGAATGAATTAGAACCAGACATCCTGAGGAGTGAGGTTGAATGGGCCTTAAGAAGCATTGCTAACAACAAGGCAGCAGGAACGACGGGATCCCAGCTGAACTGTTTAAAATCTTAAAAGATGATGCTGTCAAGGTGATGCATGCCATTTGCCAGCAAATATGGAAAACACAAGAATGGCCATCAGACTGGAAAAAATCAACTTATATCCCCATACCAAAAAAGGGAAATGCGAAAGACTGCTCAAACTTCCGTACAGTGGCCCTTATTTCTCATGCCAGTAAGGTAATGCTCAAGATCCTGCAAGGAAGAAGACTCCAGCAATACATGGAGCGAGAGTTGCCAGATGTTCAAGCTGGGTTTAGAAAAGGCAGAGGAACCAGAGACCAGATTGCCAATATCCGCTGGATAATGGAGAAAGGCAGGGAGTTTCAGAAAAACATCTACTTCTGCTTCATTGACTATTCTAAAGCCTTTGACTGTGTGGATCATAATAAATTGTGGCAAGTTCTTGGTGAGATGGGCATACCAAGCCACCTTGTCTCTCTCCTGAGGAATCTGTACAAGGACCAAGTAGCAACAGTAAGAACTGACCACGGAACAACAGACTGGTTCAAGATTGGGAAAGGCGTACGGCAAGGCTGCATACTCTCACCCAACCTTTTTAACTTGTATGCAGAACACATCATGCGATGTGCGGGGCTGGATGAATTCAAAGCTGGGGTGAAAATTGCTGGAAGATACATTAACAACCTCAGATATGCAGATGACACCACTCTGATGGCCGAAAGCGAGGAGGAGCTGAGGAGCCTTCTAATCAAGGTGAAAGAAGAAAGCGCAAAAGCCGGGTTTCAGCTAAACGTCAAAAAAACCAAGATTATGGCAACAAGAATGATTGACAACTGGAAAATAGAGGGAGAAACCGTGGAGGCCGTGACAGACTTTGTATTTCTAGGTGCAAAGATTACTGCAGATGCAGACTGTGGCCAGGAAATCAGAAGACGCTTACTTCTTGGGAGGAGAGCAATGCCAATCTCGATAAAATAGTAAAGAGTAGAGACATCAGACTGGCAACAAAGATCCGCCTAGTCAAAGCCATGGTATTCCCTGTAGTAACCTACGGATGTGAGAGCTGGACCTTAGGGAAGGCTGAGCAAAGGAAGATCGATGCTTTTGAGCTATGGTGCTGGAGGAAAGTTCTGAGAGTGCCTTGGACTGCGAGAAGATCCAACCAGTCCATCCTCCAGGAAATAAAGCCCGACTGCTCACTGGAGGGAAAGATACTAGAGACAAAGTTGAAGTACTTTGGCCACATTATGAGGAGACAGGAAAGCCTAGAGAAGACAATTATGCTGGGGAAAGTGGAAGGCAAAAGGAAGAGGGGCCGACCAAGGGCAAGATGGATGGCATCCTTGAAGTGACTGGACTGACCTTGAGGGAGCTGGGGGTGGTGACGGCCGACAGGGAGCTCTGCCGTGGGCTGGTCCATGAGGTCACGAAGAGTCGGAGACGACTGAACGAATGAACAACAACAAAAAAAATCGGAGTTGGAAAATTTTGGGGGATTGATTGATTTCCAGGTTATACAAATATATTCTAGAGCATAACCTGGAAGATAATGAAATAAAACCGGTAATGATTTCCTGATCCAGAGACTTAGAGAAAAATATAGATTTGGATAATTGGGAATACTTATGGAAAAAAGGGTTTTTCAATAGTGGGTTTTGTCAGAGAAAACATATATAAAATGTTCTAAAGAAGTTAAATAAATCCTGAATTAATGGCTAAAATTGATAGATCCCAAAATGTAAAGCGCAGAAAGGCACCTTCTTTCATGTTTGGTGGACACGTATGGTGGTTAAAGTTTTGAAAAAATGGCGACTAAGGAAACCAACAAAATGATTAATAAGATTGAGAAAAACCCAGAAATGTATTTATTGGATTTGTTTCAAGAGAGAATTGGTAAAGATGATGTAGAAATTTGCCAATATAGTTTTGTAGCAGCAAGAATCACAGTAGCAAAATCTTGGAAGGGAGAAAAAGAGCTACTTATTAAGGTTTGGAGAAGAAAATTAATAGAGTATATTCAAATGGCCAAGATCACCAATGGCATAAGGGGAGGAAACCGAAGAATTTGCTAGAAAATAGAGGCTGACCTTTGGGTATTTAAAAAAGAAGACAAAAATAGATTTCGAAATAGCTGAACAGGGGAATTTTTAGTGTAATTATAAGGAGAGATTTTTGTTAGATACTAGTTCCACATGGTGTGGTGTCGGAAGTCGTGGGTTGTGATTCACGGGTGGGAATGGGGAGGTGGTACGACTGAGGAAATACTTGTATTTTGATTGTTGAATTTTGAAGATTGTATGTTTCCTTTTTCTCCCCCTCATATATCACAATAAAATGTATACAAAAAAGATAATAGTTCTCTCCATCTCTATACCTGACATATTTAATCAAGCTAATTTAGTTTTAATAAAAGAACAACTGGGTTGGTTTCATTACCCTACTCTCTTACAATACCATTATCAAGGAAGTTGTAAAAGATAATTTCTTGCTTCCATGAACCACTGTACTTGTTTACTGTGTCACGTGATGCCAACAAACTATGGTTCATAATACTTATTTAAATAAAACAGTCTGTCAGACCAATAAACGTCAAGAGATAAAAGTTTCCAAAGTCTTCCTTTCAAAAAAAAAAAACCTCCCCATAATAATGAGACTAACTGTAGTTAGCTTTTGAATCAGACCAGCACCTTACGGGTTTACTTAGAACGCAAAATTATGTGAGATATCATATATATTCTTGTATAAGTTGGCCTCATGTAAAAGTCGGGGACAGGCTTGGGGGACCAAAACTGCAGATTTCTGACCCCCAGATAAGTCGAGGGTCATTCCTCAGAGAGAAGAAAGCACCAACGCTACATTAAGGGACCAGCAACCCGTGGCCACCACACTTCCACACACAGGTGTTCATAAAGGTTTACTTTATGGAGCCATGACAGAGTAAAGGGGACTGATGCTTCTTTTAGATTCAGAATTGGTTAAACTCTTGCAGTTTACCATTCAACTTGGAGAAATTTAATATAATTTTTTAATATAAGAACCATAGTACTCACACTGATCAGTGGATAAGTTGACCCAGTTTTTTGTGGGGTTCATTTGACTATAATTTCCAAACTTATACAAGGACAAAATGGGTAATTACCAAAGTCACAAAAGTCTGGAAAGACAAGCAAAAATCTGTTCTCAAATGAGTAATATTGCAAAATAATAATAGTAGCAGTTTTTTTCTGGCCTGAAAATGGCAAGTATGACTTTAGGATATCAGCACCTTCATTTACACCTGAACAAAAAGTTCAAAATTTCTGATCAATTACAAAAGCTCACGCACCTGGATACAGGACTCCGACTCATTGACCGCTTGGAAACAAAAGGACTGCTGGATCGCCTTCGGTTGAATGGGCTGGGGGACCTTCCGCTGTAAGATCCACTTCCTCTCTCGTAGCTGGATGAACGTCTCCTGTTGTATGGGCTGACCGACCGCTGCCTCCTGCTATAAGGACTGGGAGAACGCATGTTGGACTGGTACGCAGCAGGTTCTTTGTACGGTGGGCTGACTGACGGTCTTCTTGAGGACCCACCTGGACTTTTTTTGTAGGAATCATAATTACTGGATGTGTGTGAGCGTGGAGGGCTGATATCGTAGTCCTGTGTGTACGATGCTCCCGAGGGGCTGTCATCTTGTTTGGGACTGTCTGACCACTTGCGGTGGGGACTCCTGGATTTCCGCTTTGGACTGTCCAGGGATTTATAGCTTTTGGGGGCATCTCTTTTACGGTGACTTTTGCTGCGGTCCTTGTGGCCAGATTTTGCCTCACGCTCTTTCCTGGCCCTTTCTTTATGCAGTTTGGCTGATCGGGACTCCTTGCTGCTGCTCTTGAAAGTCTTAGAGGGATGTTCGTCATTCTCCTCGTGCAGCCTTTTGGAAGCTCCCGACACCCTGTCCTTTGCAGAACTCAACTTCCCCGAGGACTCTTGGTTCCGCTTCTCCTTGTCCACCAGCTTGCTTTTCATCAATTCCCGCACGCGCCTGTGCTGATGGTGACGGTGCCTGTGTAGCCGGTCGCTTTTCTCCGACGTCCCTTTTCTTTCGTCGTTTTCCCTGCGTTCCGGCTTGAGGACAGCTTCGTCAGAAAAGGTGTCTGAGTCCGAACTGATGTCATCGTACTCCACCAAAGGCTTGATCATGCCTCCCAGAGCTGTTCCAACGTCTTGGGCCCCCAACGGTGAATCTTTGGAATGCCTGGACCGGTGTCTCTTGTGCTTAGAGAGCCTGTGCCTCTCTTTGTTGTTTGAGCTCCCGCTGCTGGATACGGCTTCTTGATGCAAGAGCGCTCCTCCTCCTGATTCCTTCTTGACCCCATGTCTCTCTGGGTTTGGCATTCCTTCTCCACTGGGCTCTAAAAGAGGGGGGACTCCTCCAAAACCCCCAACCCTAATTGTCAAGGCCACCCCCTTCCCTTGCGTCACTTCTCTCCTACATCCAGCCACTTTGCTCTTTTCGGCATGCGGTTGTCTTACCAGAGTTTGGAGCTAGAAGGGGATCTAGCCCAAACCACTGCCTAAGACACAGACCTTCAACTTAACCCTTAAAGGGGCGGGGCAACTTATATTCCAATGGCCCTGCTCCTAGATATCAAGGGTGGGCAATGACAGGAAGCTAACTTTCCTTAGCTGGAGATTCCAATCTCAAAATGCTAAGGTCAATGTATGGGTCCCAACTACTCCTGGAGATGGATCCCTCCAAACCGTCTAAAAGGAGGGAAAGTTCCTGAAAGTGGCCCCTTCTCTTCCAACTTCAGACCCCTCTAAGCTGTAGGTCTCCCCAAGAATTGGAATAATGGCTTCTCTAGGGTCTGAAACGCCCCCTCGGCTACCAACTCGAGGCCCTGAGTCCTCACGAGAGGGAAGGCCACAGCTGGCTGTACTTTCTCCTTCAAGGCTGCTGCTTCCAAGTTTCTGAGGGAAAGGAGAGAGTGGTGCCGAGGCCTGGCTGGCCGCGGAGGCGCCGGGGGCCCTGGAGGGGGCCACGAGTCCCCTGCTGAGGAGCCCCCTCCGCCTCTCCCTCCGGCCGAGTCCCTAGCAAGGCCCCCACGCCGGGACCCCCATCCTCCTCCTTCTCCTCCTCGCCTCCTCTTACTTCCCTCCACGAAACGGCGCCGCTTCCAGGTTGGGGGGAGGGGCGGGAGAGGAAAGTGAGGAGGGGAGAAGGTAAGCCGCCAACTCTCGCGAGAACACGGACAAAATTCGCCGAAGCTTCCTGTAGTAACGCGCGGGGGGCTCTTCTCCGTCTTTCTCGCTCTCTCTTCTCTCTATACCTGCTCCTCCAGATATCGCGAGAACAAGCGCGCGCAAGCTTGCGCTCCTTCCTTCCTGCCTGCCTGCCTGCCTACCTTCTGGCGCGCAGGCGCACAAGCCTAGTCTCGCGACGCTGCCCCTCAGGAAGAGAAGGGAAAGCGGAAAACCTCCTCCGCTTTCTCGAAACGGGTTTGACCTCTCGCGGGGCCGAAATCTCACGGGAACTCGTTCGAGCGTTTGAACAAAACTTTTATCTGCATAGGGACGATTGCAGAGGCTAACTTGGCTGGAGAGGGAAGCTGGCAAAATGGAGCAAAGACGAACTTCCGTGTAGGAGTTGGAAGTCCAAAACACCCCGAGGGCCCAAGTTTGCCAATGCCTACTTTAGACGGAAAAGACTGACTTTGCAGTGTTTTGCCTCTTGTGATGACAGATTAGCCTGTCTGTCATGATAAAAAGTACACACAAAAATGTAATAACATGTATGTAGAACATATGCGATGTGCAGGGCTTGATGCTGGGGTTAAAATTGCTGGAAGAAACATTAACAAACTTAGATATGCAGATGATACCGCTTTGATGGCCGAAAGTGAGGAGAAGCTGAACAGCCTTCTAATCAAGGTGAAAAAACAAAGTGCAAAAGCTGGGAACTCGCTTCATGCATTCAGCTGTCAGTCATCAAGGGAGCCCCCTTAAACCCTTGTGCCAGCTGGACTGAAGGCCGACAGGTCGGAGGTTCGAATCTAGGGAGAGCACAGATGAGCTCCCTCTGTCAGCTCCAGCTCCCCATGTGGGGACATGAGAGAAGCCTCCCACAAGGATGGTAAACCATCAAAACATCTGGGGGCGTCCCCTGGGCAACGTCCTTGCAGACGGCCAATTCTTGCACACCAGAAAAGACTTGCAGTTTCTCAAGTCACTGCTGACACGACAAAAAAAATAATCAAGGGATGGGCATATTTTGTGTCTGCCTTTAATTGCAACCTCGAAGAAAATAAGTTGTCTGGGTTGGGTCCTCTAGAAAAGAAAAGAAAAAGCCGTGTGAGGGGCTTTAACAAACAAAAACATTGGGTTCAAAGTTTTTTGGGCTGTGTGGCCATGTTCCAGAAGCATGGCCACACAGCCCGAAAAACTTACAGCAACCCAGTGATTCCGGTCATGAAAGCCTTCGACAATACGAATGGAAACATTGATTTCCTACAAATAATTACACTGGGTTATTTAATGCACCTCATTACAAATTAATGTGTCTTGCCACTAAGACACATTAATGTATTAATGTGTCTGCTACTAAGAAAACCCACAAAGGACCTTGGGTGAGCAACGGATTGACGAAACCTAAGGTGTGCAGAGTATCCTTATATCCGAAATGTGTTTGCACCCCAAGTGTTTTCTAAGATACCAAATGAGAGACTCTGTCCTGGGCACACAGAAAACTGGGCGACTTGGAAGGTGCTGTGACATACACAATGGAGGACCTTCTTGCAGCAACACCAGAGGCACTCCAAGTGGTCAGCTACTGGTCAAAGAACATTTAATAGAATACCAAGTATTTGTATTTGTTTGTTTTTAATGCAATTTAACTGTTTTGGTTTGCTCCTGACACGATAAATACCCCAAGTGTTTGGGATTTCGAGGCTGGATCTGCACTGCCATATATTTATTTATTTACGGTATTTATAGGCCGCCCTTCTCACCCCGAAGGGGACTCAGATCGGCTTACAAGATATATATACATACAATATATTATTACCAAGGTACAATATCAGTATTATATATTACTATATTGTATTCTACCATTTTTTTGTTCAGTTGTTTTCGACCCTAAGCTTTCCTTTCTTCTCATGATGTGGCCAAAGTACTTCATCTTTGCCTCTACTATCCTTCCCTACAATGAGCAGTCGGGCTTTATTTCCTGAAGTATGGACTGGTTGGATCTTCTCGCTGTCCAAGGCACTCTCAGAACTTTCCTCCAGCACCATAGTTCAAAAGCATCTATCTTCCTTCGCTCAGCCTTCCTTATGGTCCAGCTCTCACATCCATAGGTGACTATGGGGAATACCATTGCTTTAACTATGTGGATCTTTGTTGCCAGTGTGATGTCTCTACTCTTCACTATTTTATCAAGATTGGACATTGCTCTCCTCCCAAGAAGCAAGTGTCTCCTGATTTCCTGGCTGTAGTCTGCTGTGCAGTAATCTTTGTTAGTGTTTAGAGCGGAAGTATTTGCACAGGCTTGGTAGAAATCATGCCTCTGCAGTAATCTTTGCACCTAGAAATACAAAGTCTGTCACTGCCTCCATGTTTTCTCCCTCTATTTCCCAGTTGTCAATCATTCTTGTTGCCATAATCTTGGGGTTTTTTTTATGTTTAACTGCAACCCAGCTTTTGCGCTTTCTTCTTTCACCTTGATTAGAAGGCTCCTCAGCTCCTCCTCGTCTTTTGGCCATCAAAGTGGTGTCATCTGCATATCTAAGGTTGTTAATGTTTCTTCCAGCAATTTTCACCCCAGCCTTGCATTCGTCAAGCCCCGCACATTGCATGATGTGTTCTGCATACAAGTTGAATAGGTTGGGTGAGAGTATACAACCCTGCTGTACGCCTTTCCCAATCTTGAACCAGTCTGTTGTTCCATGGTCATTTCTTACTGTTGCTACTTGGTCGTTATACAGATTCCTCAGGAGAGAGATAAGGTGATTTGGTATCCCCATACCACCAAGAGCTTGCCACAATTTATTATGATCCACACAAAAGCTTTAGAATAATCAATAAAACAGAACTCAACCATTATATTGTAATATAAGAAAAAAGAATCTGTGAACCCCACCTCCATCAAGATGAACTGAATCACCTCAACTGGGCTCTACAGGCTAATGGATACTCCACCTCAGACATCAGAAGAGCTGCAAGACCAAGAACAAGCCATGAGAGTAAAGACAAAGATGCACCCAGAGGAAAAGTGTTTTGCCATATATCAAGGGAACCACTGACCGCATAGGGAAGCTGATGAGGAAACACAACATACAAACTATCTACAGACCCACCAAGAAAATCCAACAAATGCTATGTTCAGCAAAGGACAAGAGGGATCTTCTCACTTCTGCAGGAGTCTACCGTATACCATGCAGCTGTGGACAAGTCTACATAGGGACCACCAAACGCAGCATTGCCCAAACACGAATCAAGGAACATGAAAGGCACTGCAGACTACTTCAACCAGAGAAGTCAGCCATAGCAGAGCACCTGATGAACCAGCCTGGACACAGCATATTATTTGAGAACACAGAAATGCTGGACCACACCAACAACCACCATGTCAGACTACACAGAGAAGCCATTGAAATCCAAAAGCATGTGGACAATTTCAACAGAAAGGAAGAGACCATGAAAATGAACAAAATCTGGCTACCAGTATTAAAAAACTCTAAAATTACAACAGCAAAACAACAGAGAGGAAACAAAGAAGGACATCAAATCACCTCTCAACAAAAGATTGCCCCAGGCACAGTCATAGAATCATAGAATATAAGGGTATCAGTTTGAAACGATTGCATTCGGAACCTAGCTGCTCCAGCAGCAGGTAATCTCTTGGGCACCACCCTGGTCATTCCACAGATATATAAACCCCTTTTTTCCTAGTTCCAACAGACCTCACTACCTCTGAGGATGCTTGCCATAGATGCAGTGAAATTAATGGAAGTAAAATGGCTTATATCAGGGATCCTCAAACTTTTTAAACAGAGGGCCAGGTCACAGTCCCTCAAACTATTGGAGGGCGGGATTGTAATTTGAAAAAAACATGAATTAATTCCTATGCACACTGCACATATCTTATTTGTAGTGCAAAAACACTTAAAACAATACAATAATTAAAATGAAGAACAATTTTAACAAATATAAACTCATTAGTATTTCAATGGGAAGTGTGGGCCTGCTTTTGGCTGATGAGATAGGATTGTTGTTGTTGTGTGCTTTCAAGTCATTTCAGACTTAGGTTGACCCTGAGTGAGGGCCGAGTAAATTACATTGGAGGGCCGTATCTGGCCACTGGGCCTTAGTTTGAGGACCCCTGCCTTAGATGATGAAGCTCTCAATGTTCAACTTTTGTCCAGTCTCTTTAGTTAGAAGACCCAGAGACTCGAGTGTATTGAAACACATTTATTCAATCGTATTTGTATTGTCAAAGGCTTTCATGGCTGGAATCACTGGGTTGTTGTAGGTTTTTTCGGGCTATATGGCCATGTTCTAGAGGCATTCTCTCCTGATGTTTCGCCTGCATCTATGGCAAGCATCAGTACCTCTAAGGATGCTTGCCATAGATGCAGGCGAAACGTCAGGAGAGATTGCCTCTAGACCAGTGGTTCTCAACGTTCCTAATGCCGCGACCCCTTAATACCGTTCCTCATGTTGTGGTGACCCCCAACCATTAAATTATTTTCATTGCTACTTCATAGTTGTGATTTGGCACAAATACCCAATATGCCCTAATTTGAATACTGGTGGGGTTGGGATGGGAGGATTGTCATTTGGAAGTTATAGTTGCTGGGATTTATAGTTCACCTACATTCAAAGAACGTTTTGAACTCTACCAACGATGGAATTGGATCAAACTTGGCACACAGAACTCCAACGGAAAATACTGGAAGGGTTTGGTGGACATTGACCTTGAGTTTGGGAGTTGTAGTTTGCCTACACCCAGAGAGCACTGTGGATTCAAACAATGATGGATCTGGATCAAACTTGGCACGAATATTCAATATGCCCAAATGTGAACACTGGTGAAGTTTGAGGAAAATAGACCTTGACATTTGGGAGTTGTAGTTGCTGGGATTTATAGTTCACCTACAACCAGAGAGCATTCTTAACCCTGCCAACGATTGTATTGGGCCAAACTTCCCACACAGAACTCCCATGACCAACAGAAAATACTGTCTGTTATGGTCTTTGGCGACCCCTCTGACACCCCCTCGTGACCCCTCCAGGTTGAGAACCACTGCTCTAGATCATGGCCATATAGCCTGAAAAAACCTACAACAACCCAATAATATTGTATTATTAGTATTATATTGTTTTACATTATAATATATATTACATGTATATACAATATATTGGATTATTAGTAAAGCACAGGAAATTGCAGCATGAACTGTATTATATGATCCAGGCTTGGGCAAACTTCGGTCCTCCGGGTGTTTTGGACTTTGTCTAAAGCGAAGGAAGTGCATTGGACGTTTTCCTGAAGGGTGAAAGAGCGTGACCTGTTTTGTTTATTTTTTTTTTTCAAGGGAGGTGGAAATTAAAGCCTCGCGAGAAGTCCTTTCTGCCACTAGATTGGCTGACTTCCCACGCGCCGCGGCTTCTCTCGCGCTTGTTGCTCTCCTCCTCCTCCGGTTTCCCCTCCCAAATCCCGCGAGAGCTGGAAATCTCACGCGGCCGCCAGTGGGATGGTGCCTTGCGCGCGCCTCGGGTCTTCTCCTCGGAGCGGGAGACGGGCCTTCCTTCCCCGCCGCATGAGGGAGGGCGGAGCGGGGCGCCGGGCCCCTCTCCTTCCTTGCCTGCCGCCCCGGTGAAGGATGAAGGCCGCCCAGGGCGCTTCGGAGGGTGAGTGAGTCACGCCGGCCTGGGAGTGACACCAAGGCCTCAAAGTGGGAGCACTCCCAATTAAGGCCGCGTTCAGAAACCCCACAAAGAGCCTTGTGTGAGCAAAGCTAAGGTGTGCAGGGCCGTACAGGTGAAGTATCTTATATCCGAAATGAGTTCGCCCCACAAGTGTTTGGAATCTCGGATTTTTGAGGCTTGATCTGCACTATTATATAATGCAGCGTGAACCGAATTATATGATCCAGGCATGGGCAAACTTAATCCTTCCGGGTGTTTTGGACTTCAACTCCCACAATTCCTAACCGCCCTGCGGTTAGGAATTGTGGAGTTGAAGTCCAAAACACCCGGAGGGCCCAAGTTTGCCCATGCCTGCTTTAGACTGAAGCTTTATCAACTGACTTTGCAATATTTTGCCTCTTAGGATGTCTTGTCTGTCATAAAAAGTACAAGCAGAAGTTGAATCACATATAAGACTACAAATAAGACTCTCCTGTTTTTCCCAGGAGCTTGGTTCATGCATTCATCTGTCAGTCATTAAGGGATGGACACATTTGTGAATTGGTCCTCTGAGTAGCATTGATCCACAAAGCTGAAACTGTAGATGTGAACATTATACAGAGTGAGGCAGCATAACTTCCCTTTTTCAAGACTTAATAAAACCCATTGTAAGAATCAGAATTTTTTTAATATAATGTAGGCGCATACCTAAAGTTTTGTTTTACGTAGTTTTTAAGATCAAATTAGGTAGGTGACGTCCCTCATTCTCCATACACTGAGTAAACCGATTTCTGGCGTTTGTCATGACTCTTGTCAGCATAGCAGGCGTTATGTTGGCAGTTTCTTCCTGGATGTTGGTCTTCAAATCTTTTAGGGTCCTTGGACAGTTCACATAAACACGGGATTTCAAAAAACCCCATAAAAAAATCACAAGGGGCCAATGCAACCTGAGTCCTGCCACATGCACAATGGAGGACCTTCTTGCAGCAACACCAGAAGCACTCCAAGTGGCCAGATACTGGTCAAAGGACATTTAATCAACTACCAAATTCACAAATTTTGTATTTTGTCTGTCTGTCTGTTTGTTTGTTTGTTTGCTTTGTTCTGTTAGAAATGTAATATAATTGCCTGGTTGCTGATGGCTCGATAAATAAACAAGGGGCCAAATCTGGAGAGGAGGCCAGCCACTCCAAATCCGCTCAAAAAGTAGGCCTCAACAGCAAAAGCACGCTTCTCACTGTTCCAACGCATGATGGCGACTGAACTGTGTCAGGACAAAACTTTATACTCCCGTCTCTCGAACAAGACCCCTAGCGCTCCTCTACGTTTTCAACCGCCTGAATGGCGCATATTTTAAAAAAGGAAGTTATGTTGCCTCACCCTGTATTTGCTACCACTTCCGGTCCAGTAGACTGCATCAACGACCCAACGGCTGCTCTGGCCAGAGCGAAAACAGAGGGGAGCAGAAGACGTTTCCATCTTGTCTTTACTAATAATATAATATAGTATATTGTATATACATATAATATTTATAATATTATAATGTAATACAATATAATACTAGTAATAATAATATGATATTATAATTATATATTTACACTAATAATATTACAATATAATGGTATAGTGCAATAAAGTAATATATAATACTGATATTGTACTATGCTAATAATATAATATATTGTATGAAAATATATATTGTAAGCCACTCTGAGTCCCCTTCGAGGTGAGAAGGGCGGCATATAAATGCCGTAAATAAAAAAAATCAAGAATTTCTCCCCTGTCTGGCTTGGGCCTTGTAATCTATCCACCTTTCCCTTTAGTATCCACCTTGACTTGGTCCTCTGCAGACGCTGTTCCATACTAGATCTCTGCTTAATGAGTACTGTACTGTAATTTAGTTTCTGTGAATAGTTAGAACGCCCTTCCTTTAGACCAGCCATGGGCAAACTTCGGCCCTCTGGATGTTTTGGACTTGAAATCCCAAGCAACTTATTGGCTGTTAAGAATTGTGGAAGTTGAAAACACCTGGAGAACCCAAGTTTGCCCATACCTGCTTTAGACTGAATAGCTGACTTTGCAATGATTTGGAAGTTATGCTGCCTCACCCTGTATGATATTTGGTAGCAGAGATTATGGCACACTCAGGTAGAAACCAGAATAGAAATATCACTCACTCCCCCAAGCACAGGTAAAAGAACCAAACTTAAGTTAAAGTGTAAAGGGATACTTGACACATAGGTTCAGCGTTTTCAGGTATGGTGAAAGTGTCAGGAAAACAAGCATGTCATCAGCTTTGACTGTTTGACTTCAAGAGTATTCATAGCTTCTTTGAGTCTCTGTTAAGAAAGAACAGTGGCATATAAATAAATGTAATTATACAGGAACACTTGCTCACTATGTGCTTCATAGTGAGGGGTCAGGATGAAAAAAGATGAGTGGGCAAACCCATGCTGTTCCTGGGGAGAAAAGTAGTATGCATGGGACTCAGGAAGAAGGGGTGTGAGCAAGCAAACAATCAACATGCTTTTCTAAACATCCATAGGCTATACCAGTGAGTTCAGCATGCTCTGCCCAGAAAGCGGCACAGGACTACAATGAAAGTGAAAAAGCGCAAATAAAGAAATTGCTGTGTTTATTTCAGATAACACCTCTAGAAATTTCTAGGTGTTCCAACATGACTCTATGGGCAACTTCTGTTGGAAGGTAATCATACAATTGGGTTAGGGAACCCAAAAATTTCTAGAGATCTTAATGTATAAAAATTGCTTGGTCCTCCACCATGATTGGAAGAAGTTGACCACAGAGTCACATTGGAGGGTCTAGAGATTCTTAGAACATTTAAATCAAATCAGAAGTCAAAACCACAGGTATAGAGGGACACCTGTAATATTATATAATGTATATACATTTGTGTGCATGAAGTAAAGTATACTCAACCATCAAAAAGCAAAGTTGTCTATATCTCAGCCACCCATGTTAACTTTCTTGAATTTTACATTATTTTGATTTTTCCCCGCAAATAATTTTTTATTTTGTTTTCAGTGTTTTTAATCAAATGAACAGTAAAAGAGGGGGGAAATTTTGGGAGAGGAGATGGAAAACGTGATTAAGTATAGTATGCAAGCTACGGAGCCATGTTAATAACGTAAACAGTTCTACACTTGAGTCTACTGTCTCATCTAAATAACATTATACATGTTATTTAGTAGAGAAAAAATGTAAATGAGAGAAAAAAATTCCAACCGTGATATCTTTTCTAACAAAAATAGATTTTCCTTCAGGATCTATGTTTATTTATTTTGTCTTCTTATATTGTCTCATCTTTTCTTGTGTTCTCCAGATCTGCATAGTGAGGGTTCCTTCTACTTATTTTATACATTAACTTATTCAAACTCTATTTTGAACTTTTTGATAAGGGACACAACCTGTGTGAATTTTTCGAATAAAAAAGAATGAGTTGGTTGTGGACTGTCATTTGCTATCGTCTGATGAACCATATTTTCTCTAGATTGCTGCAATGAAAATTAATGTTTGGGACATGTTTTCATTATGTGAGTCATGCTTACATGTGCAGTGTGGTGTATCTTGCTTACAGAGAACTTGAAAAATAATCATGCAGGGAACTTGAAAAATATAGTTGCTTCTTAAAATTTAGATTCAAGATACTGTTTATTGATCTGAGTTTCTCTCACAGAATCAGAAAAGCTGAACAAGATGAGTTCGCTACTAGAAAGGCTTCATGTCAAGTTTAATCCCAACACCAGACCTTGGACAGAAACCATGAAACTTGTCCGGCAAGTTATGGTGAGGATTTGGCACAATGTAGGCATATGCATGTGGTGAAACTTCTTGAGAACATGTTTCTATAATTATCACTATCAATTTTTTCTACTTTTCTAGAGTATTTTACCTTAGCAGTTTGTGAGCGTTTCCTCAAAACCTGTAAAGTTGGCAAATACATAGTGCTCTTATGCATTAAGCTTTACAAGAAAAGGACAATGGTATGATAGCTGGGACCCTACGCTAGTTGTGCAAAGCGGGTCAGAATTAATGAAGGCAATATGTGCGGCAGACAGCGGAGCGAGTGAGAGACGCAGCTATGACAGGATAGCAGTGAAGTAATTTAACTCAGGAGGGACAGGTTAAGGGAGTCGTTCCATTGCAACAACTCCGCCGCATCTGCGTCTCTCACTTGGTGTGCTCACTCCCACACATGTTCCCCTAATTCAGACCTGCGTTGTGCAAGCAGCGTAGTGTAGGGTCCCAGCTATCATACTATTGCCAAGAAAAGATTGGTTGTGTTAGACATCTGAGATAGGAAAAGTATATGGTCAGGACTAATTATTTTGTTAAGAAATTTCTTAATTCCTGAGAACATAGAAAGCAGGTGTGGAAAACTAATAATGAATGCATGAAAAATGAATAAGAAAAAAACCATTCTCCTGCCAACATTTTGTAGAGCCAAGCTAAGCTATCCTTCATTCACTGGCTTAGTGTGCTCTATATACACAGTCCAGCATTGAGAAGCACAATGCACTAAATTTGGGAATTTAAGTGAAAGTGCAAAAAACAGTCAACTCTTCTGGGAATGCAGTTGATTATGCTTGCTTCTTAGCTGTTCATTCTCTTTTGCAATATTACTGAATGCTTTTTGAAACCTTCTCAACTTTTTGTCTTCCATTTCTGAAAACAGGAAAAACGAGTTGTAATGAACTCTGGAGGTCACCAGAATCTTGTTAGCTGTTTGGAAACATTACAGAAGGCCTTGAAAGGTTTGTAAGACCAAATGAGATCATTGAGATAATCAGAAGGTTGGACATAGGAACTGATGCACCTGAAACTCTGAATGGTTTATTTGAGTATTTTTGAGTCCCACTGTATTGAGAGGGGTATACTTCCTTGCAGATGTGTTTAGGATTGCAGCATTTCTCCACATAAGGAGAAAGCAGATTTGCTTTGTAGCTGGTATTCATACTGGTTTGCCCTGGCACAAGTTGAGCTCTGTTTCATATCATATGTATTCTCATAAACTTGTAAGCACTTATTTCTTGCCTAAAAATGAACAATTTCTTATGCTTCTGCTTCATCTACATGTTTGGAAAAGTACTAATTTCAAACCTTTGCTACAAAAATTGTAATTTTCTGTCCAGCATTCTTGGGGGCCTGTGTAAAATGCCCTTTCCCATCTCTCTGTACCTAGAATATGGTAATTCAGCCACTTCTCTATATCAGGAGAGACTCATTTACTCTTAAGGCATCCATAGCCTTCAGTGACTTCTGTCCATGTTTTCTGAGGGCAGGCTAGGACCAAATTTTCAGTCTAATCTTTCATGAGTGGTTGGCGGAGGTTGAAAATCTTAGGTGTGAGCGACCAGCCAAGAATTTGTGATTTATCAAGAGAATAAGGTCTGGCCATCAGTCTTGTGCTGAATCCTGGAAATGTAACTTGTGGTCAGGGAGAAGTAAAAAGATACTATTCTCCATCTCAGAACCAGCAAAGGCATACAAAGCTTCTGACAGTGATGTTCCTTCTTACTAAGATGTACTTCTACTTTCTTTTCCTGCAGGGTAATCAAGGGTAGTAGTCACTCAGTAGATACAGTAATTAGCCTGTATATTTGTACCAGCCCCTTCTAATTCAAGGCAGAATGACAGAGAGACTGCTTTTTACCACCCAGCTAGTCCAGAGTTAAAACATGACTGTCTTCCCCCAGTGTTTGAGGCTGAGAATGAGAAGGTGTTGGCTCTCTCCTTCTCTGGCTATAGTGCTTGAGCGGATACTTTAGGTTGTGTAACTTGCCAGAATGTGGGGAGATTCTGTTCCATGGCAATGAGTTCAAATGAAACTGAGGGCAGACCCATTAAGATATCTAGATTCAAAAGGCTAATGAATGCAGATAGTTTCCATACTGTCTTTGAACTGCTTTATTTACTTCACTAACTATTCTATCCATTTCCTTGCTTATTTTTGATGTAATTGGATTTCAGACAGTGAAGCAAATAGTAGTATAATTTGGATGTAAGTGAAAGCCAGATATCATTACTCCTTGTCATTTCCTGCATGATTGGTATGCATCATTGTATAAAAATGCAGAGTTGTTCTCTTTGGAACAGTAAACATTATGAATTGGTTTATAGAACTCAAAACCTAACCCACCTTGTCGCAAGACTTCTAAATAACTTAATAGAAAGAGAAAAGGGAGCATCAGTATTGTTAAATAGAAAACAGAAGTGCTAATGATTTAGGTAAGACCAAAGAAACAGCCCATATACCAACTTGGGAAAAATTCCATTAGACTTGCTGAAATGTATTTAATTTACCTTACATCTGTACATAGATCTAAACTAACTGTCTTCCTCTCAGTAACATCACTACCTGCCATGACAGATCGCTTGGAATCCATTGCTCGACAAAATGGGTGAGTCATTTTTTATCCTATTAAAGATATTAGTTATTTTGGAAAAAAAATCATGGTATTCTCACTGGCAATAAGATTTGCTGGAAAAGATATACCAGTCCCTGCATGGAAGTAATCAATGTCAACTTCAACACAAATATATCATGTTTAATCTTGACACAGAAGCCCTTTAAAGTAGCAACACTGGAAGCAGTCCTGCTTCCCTTATAGTGTGATATACAGTGATGTGCAACCTGTGGGTTCCCATGCTGGACTACAACTCCCAGAAATCCCAGTCAGTTTATCAGCTGTTAGGATTTCTGGGAGTTGAAAGTCAAAACATCTAGGAACTCACAGGTTGAGAACCACTACTCACATTCTGTAAGGAATTAAAGACGTGGATGTTTCGTCGTGCATTGGATTGATGACTCCTGTGACAGATGACCTGTATCATGACCGAATCATGACCTGAATCTGAATTCCTATATTACATCACTATATTTTAAGTTAAGCCGAATTGATCCTGTTTAATCGCTCTGTTTCCATGCTATTTCCGATGGTACTATATGTTTCTATCCACCTTATTGAACCACACTGTCCTTTAACCAGTTCGCATAGTAGCCTCCCCCCACCCTCCAAAATTAGTCTGCTGTTGCTTTTGATGTTTGTTTATTATTGTTTGTGCTGTTTTATGCTATCTTAATTTGTTATTCTGTTTTTAATTGTATGTTGCCTTGGGCTTGGCCCCATGTAAGCCTCCCCGAATCCCTTCGGAGAGATGGAGGTGGGGTAGAAAAATTAAGCTCTTCTTCTTCTTCTAGCAGGTCTCACCCATGTAATGTGAATGCTTGGATTGCAAATTATATCAGTATTGTGAAAGGAAAGCTTACTTTGAAACATTTTTGTACGTTTTGTTAATAGTTTAAGCTTGTCAAAAGTAAGAAAAAAGCAATGCTTATGACAGCTTCTGCTAGCAAATTAATTGTTTGAATTGCACAAGAGAACCATAGATTCTACTTTATTTCCATTATGTTCAGGGGCAAGGGTTGAGGTGAGGAGGTGAAGGAGTGAACAGAATATTAATAGAAGAGAAAACTATAAAGATAGTGTAGAGCACGAATATTTTAAACCAAATTATCCTTTATTCCCATTGAAATCAGTAAAACAAATTAGTTTTAACGTCTGTATTTTCTGATTTCATAGGGGAACTAATATAAGATAGACCCGTCACATTGTTGTCTAGAAGCGTGTGTGGGGACTAGGAATTGGTGTGCTTTTCAAGTTGCCTCTCAACTTACGCCAACATGAACATCATACAGTTTTCTTAAAAAAGGAGTACTGAAAGAAGGTTTACCATTGCTTTCCTCAAAAATATTGACTACAGCATAATGACATTCCCTAGCAATCTCCCACCCAGATTCTATACAAGGTTGACCTTGCTTAGCATCCAAAATCAGATAGGACCTGGTACCTCCAGAAGATGTTGATCATTATCTTAGGATTCCCTGGTATTTGACAAAAGTTGTTAAGGTCTGAGTGTCTTTTTCTTTCCTCTTTTTAAGCCTGGGATCTCATCTTAGTGCAAATGGCACAGAATGTTACATAACTTCAGACATGTTCTATGTGGAAGTTCATTTGGATCCTGCTGGACAACTGTGTGATGTCAAAGTAGCACATCATGGAGAAAATCCTGTGGTAAGTAGAATGTAGGATATACTGGTCTACCTAATCAGACCTCTACCTTTGATTTCCAAACATCATAAAAGGTCCAGATCTTTTATTTTTCCTACTGTGGGAAGGAACAAGTCAGCTGCCCATCTGCTGTACAGCTCAGGCACCCTGTAGAGCTCAATGGAAAGATGCTTAGGTTCAGAGGAGTAGCTGTGCCTAAATGAAAGTGGTATCCACTGTATCCCTGTACATCTTAAGGATGTGCATTTGAACTAAAAAAATGACAGCAACTTTAGATGACGTTTGATATACATGTCCTTTTTTTGTTATAGAGTTGTCCAGAATTGGTGCAGCATCTAAGGTGAGTACTATATGAAATTCAGTGGTGCTGTATGGCTATGGTTTTCTGTCTATTGTTCTTTTCTACAGAGGATGATAATGAATTGCTCTTTCCATTCACTCCTGTAAGCAAAAATGTGCAAATATTGCTATTCTGTGGGTACATGCCAACTTTTTAATTTATTTTAGTATTTTAGGCTACTTTAAAGGCTATTTCGAACATAGAGGACATACCTGTGTTCAGGCAATGCAATATGTTTCTCAACAGAGGGTGGATTGAAAGCATCCCATCAGCCCAAAACTAGTTTATATTCCCAAAACCTGCCAAAATAAAAATAATTCTATCTTTGGCAGAAGGACAACAAAATGAATTAAATTTCCTTCTGTTGGCAGGGAGTTGAGAGTTTGAAATAAGATACTTTTCTCTTAGGTTTCTGTTGAAGAAGTGACCACTAGAGGCAGCATCAAATGGAGGTCATTGGCTATTATCTTAAAACCTGAACAGATTCACATGGTAGAGTAGTATTACAAATGGCTTGTCCCAAAGCCACATGGTCTTTATAGATTCTAAAACAGTGCTTTGAATTGTGGCCAGAAGCAGATGAGTAGCTATTTGTAAAATGGGAATTGCATTCTCCCTGAGGTTGGCCCCAGCCATCTGCAAATGCAGCCCTGACTACAGGAGTATGCCTCAAATGCTAGCCTGATTCTTCAAAAGAATGTAACCTTATGCAGCACGCTGAATCCCTATTCACTGGTTTCCCTTTCAATTAGGCATTTCTCTTTTGTCTTCATTAAATGCCAATGTGTTCCCATCATCCAGGCCATCGTTTATACTAAATACTGGTTCATTCCCTTTAGATTTTTTTTTTTTTAAAAGATGAGCTGGATGCAGTCAGCATATCGATAGCAGTGAACCCCAAACTCAAGGGACCTTCACAAAGTTGTGTCATGTATCTGTTAAATAGCTCGAAGGGGCACTATAAGTAAAGGGCAGGCCCTTCCCAGTCCAATGCCTCATAAGAATACCATGGCTGATGATATTAAAAACCATCCAGGTTCTTTGGAGCTTAAGGTCTTTTTCTTACTTTGCAGAGAGAGAGATTTTGATGAATTTTCTAAGCACCTTAAAGGCCTCGTTAATCTGTATAAACTGCCAGGTGACAAGTAAGTATTTTATTACATAATTTCTATTGTGTGAAATTTTTCTGTAACTTGACCAAGTATTTGTGTTATTTTTGTGTGCAAGCAGTTGACAGTCTGTACATCTGGATGCACATCTTCTCATATACCTCATATACTTACTTCCAATGTCACTCATTTTCTTTCCAACATTTAAACAGTACTTCCTAGTCACCTCAGCTTTGGATGAGGAAGCAAATGTAGGGTTGGAGCAGGTGCTAAAATAACAAATGAGATGTATTCAGAATTCTGCAAGCACGGCTGGATCTTATCTTCAGTGATTTTTAAAATGATTGTGGGGCTAAATACAGCTGTTGCAGTAACTGGTAGGATAGATTTGGTAAGAAAAATACTGTTGCAGTGAGGCTCCAATCCCAGAGCACTGTAAAAGGTGCTGATCAGAGTATTGTTTCTCCAGTCTTTTCTGTCATTATGTGGATGTTATGAAAACTGCATCATTATGTGGATGTTATGAAAACTACAGCATGACAGTGATAAAAAATAGATCCGTCTTTATGCCCATTTACTTTATTTCCTAATAGGAAAGTGTATTTTAAGATACATGAGGTCTCTGTTGGATCCTTGGCTCAATAGCAATCTTCCTTGGAGTTTGGAGGTCTACTGACAGCCAGACAGTTCTTGTATTTGTTATCAGTGCAATCCTGTCCATATCTCCCATTGAGTCCAGTGGGATGTACTCTCAAGGCCCTGTTTTAAATGCCACTTACCTATTTTTAATGAAATCTTCTTTCTTGCAGCAAACTGAAAACTAAAATGTACTTGGCTCTTCAGTCCTTGGAACTTGACCTTACAAAGATGGCAGTCATGTACTGGTAAGAGCATTTTACCATATTGACCTCAGCACTTACTTTTAGCTTAATAAGCTTCAGTATAGTCTAGTATAGTATCCACTTAGAAGAATCTAATCTGACATCCATTTGAAGCATGGGTTCACTAGATATCCTTTGTGGGCGATAGCCCATTTCATTACACACATCCTTTCTCATAGTGCTATAGCCCAGAAAAACAGTAAATGGAAGGAGTGCAGTCCACACTAACTCTGGCCTTCAATTTGCTATGACACTCTTATTTGTTTTTCCTGCAACAAGCTATAGCTCCTTCCCATTGCATCTCCAAAAAGGAAAAGTAGTTACCACTTTGTAGATTCTCACCTGCAATCCTATACATTTCTGGGCATAAGTTTCACAGGGGAGTAATAAGACTTGACATCTGAATAAATGACTTGTGCTATTAGTGTCGTAAACCTAAGTCTTCAGTTGGGACATGTAACTAGTCTGGTAAAACAAGGTAAAAAATGAGACTGTTTCAGTTCTGCACCCAGTGTGTTATATGTTTCTGGTTCTGTCTGCTTCTAGGCAAGCCACCAATGCAAGCCCTTTGGACAAGATTCTGCATGGAAGTGTGGGCTATCTCACTCCAAGGAGTGGAGGTAGGAGACGATCTTACTCTAAAGATGTATAGCAGGAATAAGGATAGATTCTTTGTATCCACTCAGCAATCCTGCTAGCTTTTTCTGAGGAATAGAATATAATAGAAGTTCCCCAAGCAACAGTAGCCTTGGGCTGGAAAGAGCGGGAAAAATGGGAAATTAAAAAATGGTTTGACTATTTAGCTGATTGTATGCTCCAGGATTATTCTTGTGAAAGGAGGTTGAAATGTGCAACTGGCATCTGTAAAAAGAATTGAGACTTGAAATGGGGAACTCTGATAGCTAGAGTAAAAGGAAAAAAATATAAAGAACCGAATCGCATCCTCTTCACAATTGATCAATTCAAATAATACTTGAAATGAAGACACAACTGTTCCCAGTGGGTGGGGGAGGAAAGAAAAACTGGTAGACACAAGAGGTTGATAAGGGTGGAATTAGGACTGGTAAGAGTAAGCAAATAAGATACATTATATTGAGTGAAAATGTAAACGAAATTTCATTATTTGGATTTATATTATCCTACTTGTGTCTACAATTAATAAAAAAAACCTTTTTAAAACCTTGTGAAATGATTGATGCTTGACTATGATGCTGATAGGAAATAACAGTCTATGCAAAGCCCATTGCCACTAGTCTCTTGTATAGATTAGCATTATGGTTCAGAATGTTGTTTGCTTTAGGTAAAAAGAAAAAAACTACACCTTGACAGGCCACTGCTGGGGAGTATTTGGGACTCCACTTGCTTTGAACTACAACTTCTTCATTTAGCATTCTGGAATTTGAGGTTCATAACAATTGGAGGGCCATACATTCCTCATCATTATCTTAAAATTTCTTATATGGGGGAGTTTCAGGTCTGCAATTATAAGGAGAATATAGTTTCTTAAAAACCACTTTCAAATCTTGGCTTTGTTAATTTTTGTTCTCATAATTCATATATCCTGTTTTAAGTTTGATTCAACACAATCATATGCTAATATATAGGCTTATTTTTGCTACCTATATTTTATTAAGTTTTCATTTCCTGTTCCAGGTCACCTGATAAATCTGAAGTATTATGTTTCACCATATGATTTGATTGAAGATGGTACTGGAGCACCTGTCATTCTGAATGAAGGAGGAGGTATGGTCTTTTTAATCAGATAATGCCTATTCTAAATGCCTATATTGAGGGAGGATTTTTGGTGAACTTCCCATATCCATCTTGCACGTCAATTCCAAACTATAAATTGGGCAATTTGCTTGGGGTAATAGTAATGGAACTGGTTGCATTCTCTCAGACTGAGTGTAAAGCAGAGGCAAACCCCTTGTAAACAAATCCTACCATGAAAACCCTGTGAAAACTTCGGCTTAGGGTCACCATAAGTAGAAAACAACTTGAACACCAAACAGTAATAGCTCAGTGCACCATCTTACTTCCCAGTGCATTCATTTTCTGCCTCTGTAGTTCTGACTGCGTTGCAACCTGCTGTTGTTTCAAACTTGAGAAGTAAAATGGAAAGGTGTGAACATGAACTGTTAAGGCTTCTGTTGGTGCCAGCCAGGACCTGAATGAGCAGGTTTTCATGCACGAAAACTAGTGGAAGAGCCTATTTGGCCTGGTTTTCTCTGCTGTAATAAGTGAGAAACATAGCTTATCTAAGGATATTATCCTTCACAGAAGCAGAAACATCATATATCTCCTTTGAAGATTTCAGAGGACACACATTGTGCAGTATCCAGTTTCCAACTCTTTGCTATATAGTTTGTGTTTTGAACTACACGATTTTGAATATTTTTTACTCTCTTTCAGTTCCTCGAAACTTGGGCATGAATGTATATGTTACAATTGAAGGAACTTTGACTATGAACAAGCTTCCAATTGCTCCTCTGATTATGGGGTCTCATCCTGTGGATAACAAAGGGTAAGAAAGAAGCACTGTTTGTAAGTTTATAACAGATTGATACTTTCATGGATTAAAATAATTCCTTAAGATGATCAGAGGTGGACAAAATGTGAAATTGTTTTCTTCTTTACAGTCGATTTTCTCAGCTTATATGCTTTTTTTTTTTAGTAATACAGTAGAGTCTTGCTTATCCGACATAAAGGGGCTGACAGAACTGTTGGATAAACAAAATGTCAGACTGTACTGTAATTTGATCTGTGGATGATAAGTAGGCAGAAACAATGAGGCCTGAATTCCTTAATTCAGAACAATTCAACAGAAAAAATATATTTAAGGTCACTGAAATCATTGTGGATCAAATGTGAAATATATGCTTGTCATGTGAGTTTAAATGGGAATCTGATGCCTGCCATTGTGTTGGAATGTGCTCATAGTATCTGAAGAAAACATCTTATCTGCAAGTGTATTAGATTGCTTTTTTGGTTGAATTTATGGTCAGATTGAGGATTTAATGATTGCTTCAACCCAGTATTTTAGATTGTTAAATGTGGGCAGCCAATCTTATTTGCAGATTTTACTGCATTTTATTAATTGTATTAGATGGGGACTTATGTGTGTTCATTGTTTTATAGACATATATTGTTGTTTTATATTCTTATGTATTGTTGTTTTAAATGCTTCTGTGAGCAGCCCTGAGTCGATAGTTGGATAACCCTTCCTAAAGTTAATAGATCACAGCGTTTTTCAACCTCTATTAGGAAAGGTCTTGCATGGGTATCCTTTTACAAGCCGTAGACTTGCAAATGCTTTGGGGTGATTATAAATATAATACTGTTGTCAATCCTTTCTCTTTCAGGACACCCTCCTTCTCCTCAATCACTAGTGCTAATAGTGTTGATTTGCCAGCTTGCTTCTTCTTGAAATTTCCAAGACCTATTCCAGTATCTCGAGGTTTCATTCAGAAACTTCAGAACTGCACAGGTTGGTCATGATTTCAAGTAAGGATTTTTGCTTAGTGCCACATCCTGACACCCAGAGGGCGACAGTCAACTCTTTTTTCACATTCTAACAATCTTTTTCTAGTTTTTACAAAGCTATGACCATATGTTGTTTATGTATTTGTCCAGATCAAGTTTCTCTTGATCTTTCTCCCTGTTTCCTCTTTCTCTCTTTTTTAAATAAAGCAAATAGTACTGCTTGTGGTGATTGATGCACATATGTTAACCTGGAAAAGGATACAATTGGAGTAGAGTTTTATGATAATAATGAAGAAAGATGCTTGCCCCATCTGTTTTCCTCCTATACCTTCTGTGGCCAATTTATGCTAATTTTGCTAGTGTTCTCTCAATCTCTCTTTTCTTTGTATTTTAAAAAAAATATCTTAATTGAATATAATCATGCAGCCTCACAGATATTTTGGGACAACCACTCCTAACATACTGGCTAGAGCTGCTGGAGTTTGGAGTCCAGCAACATCTGGAGGATTCCATGATTCTCCCAAGACATAGATGACAGATTTGAGTTTTGGGGGCAGATGTGAGAAAGCATTATTGGTGAAGGATAAATATATGTGTTTTCTTAGTACGCAGCTGGATTTATCTATCAACGTTTTAGCTCACTTCTTTAGTACTGCAGTTATTTGCATTCATCCTTACAAGGTCTCAGGGAGGGATATCTCATTACGGTATCTGATCATAAGAATAGGAAACAGAAAGGGAAGCATTTTAACCCACAAGCTTGCCTCGTGCGTACACTGTCTACTGTAAATTTGTGGAATTCCAGAAATTTGAACCAGTGTCTTCCAGAGGCAGCATGCCCCCATAAGACCACATTGATTTGTATTAACATTAATAAATCAGTCATCCTTATTAAACAGGAATATGCAAATGTATTAAAGATGAGAATTTTTTTGAATCCTTGCAATAGCTCCACAGTGCAGTAAACCTCTCCTTTATTGAGAAATTGTTGCATTAAAAATGTGCTCATGGTCTCTCTCTCCTCTCTCTTTCTCTCTCCCCACACCCAATCCTCAGGCATACCACTGTTTGACACCCCACCCACATATGTCCCCTTATATGAGCTGATTACTCAGTTTGAGCTGTCCAAGGAGCAAGATGCTGGATCATTGAACCACAATATGCGCTTCTATGCAGTAAGTTATTAAGTGGAGAATGAGAATATAAGAATCATTTTCCATTTATGATTAATCCTATAGTTGAATCATACTCTCCTCCAGAATAGTTAGGATTTAACTATAGAATTAATACAATCTACATGGTTAGAGAATGCATGACTCCCTTCTCTGACCTGATTTCAATACAGATTGAAAACATCACCTACTCTAGGTTTCAGAATGCAAAAGGAAACTTAAATAAGACATATACGAGCAACCAGAGGAAAGAGGTGGAGCAAGGTTGTTGCTTCTCAAGGCTTCGGTTTTCGTACAATAGGAGTGGTGTTTGGGACTCTTCAATATTCCCCCCCCCTTTTTTTTCCTGCTATTATTCTAATGCCTCCAGCCTCAATATTTCATTGGTAAATTGTTTGAGGGACATGTTGTGGGAGTGGGTTTTTAACTTTATGGTATTTACCCCAGTGACCCCATGCTTTCTTCAAAGAAATTTTACTGTTTTAGAGCTTTTTACAAGCTAATTCCTTCTCTCTCCATCATCTTGTCTCTTTTTCATTCATCTTCATTCTACAGTTCAACAGCCTTGAATCCATATATTTTGCCTGAAATCTTATAGCCATTTACGCTACCCGCTTAATTCTCATTGTCTCAGCTGTTGCAGGGGTAACATACCATATATACTTGAGTATAAGCCGAGTTTTTCAGCCCTTTTTTAGTCTGACAAAGCCACCCTCGACTTATACTCGAATTGAAGTTATTTATTATTTTACTCTGTTATTATTCTTATTATTACATTTATTATTTTATTTTTATTCTTCTTATTACATTTACATTATTTTACTCTTATTATTTTTATTAGATTTATTATTTTACTCTATTTTTACATTTATTATTACACCAGCTTGGGGACCCGGCGGGGTCCGGGTTATTTCAGAAAGGCAGTGTTTGTCTGTGCTCCAAGTTTAGTCTAGATCCAATGTCAGCTAGGTTTAGTGGGTGCAGGTGAATTACAACTCCCATATGCATATCCCATTGTCCATGAGCAATCCTCCTCCAAACCATCCCAGGATGTAGAGCATGTCACGGGAGCTCTGTGTGCCAAGTTTGATCAGTCATTGGTGTGGGTTGCAGTGGTCTCAAAAAGTGAATGAAGATACTGCAAGCTCCATCATCCATGGTCCAAACTCTTCCAATCCGCACCAGGATGTAGAGTCGTCATGGGGGATCTGTGTGTCAAGTTTGATCTTGATCTGTCATTGGTGTGGGTCGCAGTGGTCTCAGGAAGTGAGTGAAGGCATTGCAAGTCCCATCATCCATGGTCCAAACTTTTCCAAACAGCACCAAGATGTAGAGTGGTTTATGGGGGCTCTGTGTGCCAAGTTTGGTATTGATCAGTCATTGGTGTGTGTCACAGTGGTCTCCGGAAGTGAGTGAAGGTACTGCAAATCCCATCATCCATGGTCCATCCTCTCCCAAACTGCACCGGGATGTAAAGTGGGTCATTGGGGCTCTTTGTGCCAAGTTTGGTCCTGGTCCAACATTGCTGGGGGTTGTAGTGGTCTGTGGGATCCAAAGCGATGGAAAGTACTGCAAACTCCATCATCCCTGATGATGGAGTTTGCATCACCAAACCTTCACCAAACCACACTACAATGTAAAGTGGGTCATGGGGGTTCTGTGTGCCAAATTTGGTCCAGATCCATCTTCCATGGGGGTCGCAGTTGCCTGTGAAAGTGGCAGCTAGTCAGAAAGCTGCCACATACATACATACATACATACATACATACACATACAAATATAGACATATAAATATAGATGTAGATTTCCATTATTTTACTCAATGTTTATTTTTATTACATTTATTTTTTTACTCTATTATTGGAGGGATACAATAAGCACACTTACATTGAAGAAGGTAAGAATAATGGTTTAGTAGTCAGAGTTGGACAGTCTTATCTTAAGTTACAGTTTTAAATATTCAAAAACATTTAACCTGCTGATGCCTCAATTAATGTAATTTTATTGGTATCTATTTTTATTTTGAAATTTACCAATACATCCTGCATTTCCCACCCTCGGCTTTTACTCAAGTCAATAAATTTTCCCAGTTTTTTGTGGTAAAATTTGGTGTTTTTGTCTTATATTAGGCTTATATTCGAGTATATATGGTAATTCTGTGTTCTGGGTGTATAATGTTGTTAAATCCACTTTCCACCATCACGGGTGGCTTGGATGGGAAAGGGCTTGAGCTGAATTTAAACCTCATGCATTAATAACAAGTATGTACTTGAAATATTAGAGAAATACAACCTTTTATTCCCTCAAAAATAATTGATTTGCAACACCTGGGTTGCATATGCTTTTATAGTATTCATCCATATCTTACTAATAGTATGTTTGCGTTTTTCTCTATCAGGCTCTGCCAGGACAACAGCACTGCTACTTCATCAATAAAGATGCCCCTTTGCCAGATGGCCGGAGCCTTCAAGGAACCCTGCTTAGCAAAATTGCTTTCCATCATCCTAGTCGGGTTCCTCTTATCCTCAATATGATTAGACATCAGGTAGCTTACAACACACTGATAGGCAGCTGTGTCAAGCGAACAGTCTTAAAAGAAGGTAAGTTCTGCCCCAAAGTACCGTACTTTCCGGCATACAAGGCGACTGGGGGTATAAGACGATTCCACCCACTTTTCAACACAAAATAAAGAGTTAGGGATATACTCGCCGTTTACGATGACTCTGTCGCTGCTCTACCCATTCTACTTTCAAGGCCCTCTTCTGCCCCGCCGCTCACCTCCTCCGAAGGCCACTGGTCTCGTCTTAGGCCCAAAGAAGCGCCTCTGGAAGACGACTTCCAGCAGCCCTGGCAGCGTGACTGGGATGTGCTTGCTGAGGCATTCAGGGAGCCGTCGGAGTCAGGGAACTACGGCTCCCAGAATACCTCAGTTAGCACAACTCAGGCACACTGCTGCTGGGGCTGCAGGGAGTCGTTGTCTGAAGGCGCAAAGAAACACCTTTGGATGACTCCCAGCAGGCCTGGCAGGTCCTGCGGCTCTCAGACGACGACTCCCTGCAGCCCCGGCAGCAGCGTGCCTAAGATGTGCTCACTGAGGCATTCTGGGAGCCATAGTTCCCTGACTCCTACGGCTCTCAGAATGCCTCAGCGAGCACATTGCCGCCCGGGGCTGCTGGTTGTTGTCTGGAGGTGGAAGGAAGCGCCTTTGGGCAATGACTCCCTGCAGCCCCGGCAGCAGCATGCCTGGGATGTGTTCATTGAGGCATTCTGAGAGCCGTAGGAGTCGGGAAACTATGGCTCTCAGAATGCCTCAGGAAGCACATCCCAGGCATGCCACCGCCGGGGCTACTGAGAGCCATCCGAAGGTGCTTCCTTGGGCCTAGAGGAGCCCAGTGGCCTCCAAAGGAGGTGAGCATCGGGGGCAGAGGAGGGCCATGACAGTAGAGTAGGGAGAGCGGTGGGGGCTGCGGGAACAGCCCATCGGGCGATCACCCCCGGCCGGTCTCCACGGCAATACAGCCTGCCGCTCCTGCCCCCCGTACCCTCCCTCCTCCCTTCCTCCTAAGGCAGTTGTATTTTATTTTTTTCCTTTTAATTATTATTATTTTAATTTTATACCCGTCGTACTAGACGACCACTGACTTTTAATAAGATTTTCCAGGCCTAAAAAGTTGTCTAGTACATCGGAAAATACGGTACGTTGTTTGAAGTCTTTATAAAAACCTTGATGATGTGCATTGTAGATTTATACAGACTGAGGCAAGAAGCATGCAGCCCTCTAGTCAAAATACCATCAACCCTATCCAGGGGTTGCAGTCCAGCAAGATCTGAAGGGCTACATGATCCTCACTCCTGCTGCAGACAGTTGCTGCCATGTTTATCCTAGATGAATGAAAGATGGGAAATAAATACAGTGATATAATTATACCAGCATTCATTAGAATGTACTGCTTTGGATACTTCTGTCCCCTACCATTCACAAGTAGTTCTAATATGTATGTTGTGATGCTACTCCAGCCTTGAATGAACGGAATGTATTGCCCTTCAGATGGTGCTGAATTCCATCTACCATCATCTCTTACACCTAGCTGTACTAGCTGCTCAGTGGGGACCACATATTCCTCACCTTTGTTTTAATGTCTATATTCAGTTCTGTGTTTCCCTGGTGAAACATGTATAGGTTCAGACACTTCATTTATTACTATAGAGAAATTTATTACAAATAGAAATAATGGAACATCTGTAGCATGTATGTGGCTTAAGCACTTCAGAAGATAATTTTATTGTATTTAAACCAAATCAAACCACATGTATCTTTGTCGTGTCGCTGTCCCATTTTCTTCATTGTAAAGTAGTATATGTGGGGATCTCTCATGTTTTCCTCAGAATATCTCTGGGATGGGTTCAGCTGAATTAGAATGGCTTTTTTGCCTGTTAAGTTTATAAAGTTTGAGCTTGGGATTTCCACATCACAAATACACATTAGCCAATGTGCTTTAGTCAAAAGAACATATCTGCCTGGGTCCCAAATGATTGTGAAATTGTGTTCAAGTGAGAGGAATAAAAACAGATGCCGTGCTACTTCAGACATGGCTTTTTGCTTTGTCTGCACAGGTTTGATTTCAAGAATAAAAAGGTGACCTGTCTCTGTGCAAACAATAACATAGATCTGGTGCAAAGATCAGGAAAGGTCTGGCTGGGTGTTTTGTTCGAATCTCCACAAGAGTATTGTTTGTTTTGATTGTATCTAAGAGCAGTTGAGTTGTGCAAGGTGTAATGAGGACAAAAGGGGGGGAAATCTATGATAAATGAATAAACAAGTGGGGAGGTTGAAATTGAGGCTCTCAAATTCTGTTATATAGTGCTTCCCAAAGTAGGTAAAGGTTTCCCCTGACATTAAGTCTAGTTGTGTGCGACTCTGAGGGGTGATATTAAGCCGAAGAGCCAGCATTGTCCGTAGACGCCTCCAAGGTCATGTGGCCAGCATGACCGCATGGAGCGCCATTACTTTCCCACAGAAGCGGTACCTATTGATCTACCCACATTTGCATGTTTTCAAACTGCTAAGTTGGCAGAAGCTGGGCCTAACAGAGGGAGCTCACCCCGCTCCCTGGATTCAAACTGCCAACCTTTTGGTCAGGAAGTTCAACAGCTCAGCGTTTTAACCCGCTGCGCCACCAGGGAGCCTATTGCTTCCCAAGCATCAGCTAAAAATGGTTTGCATGCATACATTGAAACAACTACGTAAGTGCGTTGACTGACATTCCAAATGTGTCCCACAGAGGAGACTAGGCAGATTCATGGGAGAGGGTCCGTAATAGGTCTTTGATAAATGAGTTTATTCTTTGTTTATTTACAGATACTCCTGGCATCCTCCAGTTTGAAGTCTGTCCCCTTTCTGACTCCTGTTTCAGTGTCTCATTTCAGCACCCTGTAAATGACTCTTTAGTTTGTGGTGAGTTGCCTATGTTTGACCAGGGGTTGTCAGAATAAGGGATGGATGGAGCTAACTATTTTAAATTAAACACCCTCCTTGTGAACCTTCTATTTTTCAGTGGTAATGGATGTACAAGACTCTACCCATGTGAACTGCAAATTGTATAAAGGGCTCTCGGATGCACTCATCTGCACAGATGACTTCATTGCTAAAGTTGTTCAAAGGTACGTCATGCTTCTTAAGCTAGAACAAAAGCTGATCTTTGAAGACTGTGAGTTAAATATAAACCCAATTATTCAGAGGTGTACTTAAATGAAAGTCTGATGAAGGGAGAAGTTCAGAGGTAGTTTCTCTAATGCAAAATTCGTTCATGCAAGGTATTCTGTTTCTTGCATTCTATTTTTTCATGGTGGCAGTAGATTTAATAACAGCAAATTCTCAGTAGCAGAACCTGTGCTTTGCTAAAGAAGAAGAGCTGTGTCTTATCCTTCTACAATAATGGAATCATGCATTAATTTTACCTAATTTCTCCAGAAGTTCAGGACAAGAAGTATTTAATCATTTGAAAATTCAGTATCTAACCTCACCTTCTAGCCAGGATTGTCTCAAATTATCTATACTATTTTTCAGTAATCAGTTTGTCACCAATAATTCTTAGGATGGTTTGAAGCATTAAAAATGGTCTATCTTTCCACATCTCTTTCTCATTAAACATTCTTGGAAATAGGTCAGGTTGCTGCACTTTGTGTAGCCACATACTGATTTCCTGACATTTCTAGCTGTGCAATCTTTGAAGGTGTGTTCTTTAAGTCGAGCGTTTGAGGTCAGCCTGTTTGGAAAAGCTTAATTGTTCTTAAGTTTACACCTTCACAGCATGTTCCTCCTTTAAATCATTTTTCATTCCTCCAACAGCAGGAGGAATGAGCCTATTGTTTAACCATGGGTTGAGAAAGATAATAGTTTCTCCTTTATAGATGTCACTTTTAGGGGGGAAAGTGTCTGTAATGTATACACACTGTTATGTGACAATATATGAATTTTTATTTTGCTATTTTCAGTTGGCTATGAATGCCTATGACATTGTAAAAAAGATATCAATTTTTCCCTGCAAATATACACTTTTTTTTGTGTCAGGAGCGAATTGAGAAACTGCAAGTCGCTTCTGGTGTAAGAATTGGCCGTCTGCAAGGACGTTGCCCGGGGACACCCAGATGTTTGATGTTTTACCATCCTGTGGGAGTCTCATCTCCCCACAAGGGCTTAGACAGGAACTCACTCTGCTCTCTGCATGTGAACCACCAACTGTTGGTTAGCAGTCCTGCTGGCAGAAGGATTTAACCCATTGCGCCATATACCTTATGCACACTTTGACTGAAATGATACCTTTTACAGGTATATGGTTAGTAAAGTTGATCTAAAAAAAGTCTTTGGTCTCTTCCACATAATTTGCCTTCTCAAATTTACATTGCTCAAATTTATGTGGATCTGAATTCATTTGTCTTAGCTTTGAATTTGTGTTTTATTGGTGGGGAATATACATATAAAAGGCAAACTCCATATATTCTATATTTTATTTTCTCCTACTGTTAATTGGAGAAAAATTTGCAGAGTATTTTATGAAATTCATGTACATTTTCTACACATTATGGAGTTTTTATATCCTTTATTTTTTCTGTTCGTTGAAGAGAAGGGAAGCAAGAGGGCATTCACAGGAAGGAAGAAGTGGAGGAGGGGATGCTAAGATAGAGTGTTCTGTCTCTTCCCACAAGAAACCAGTGTCATGCCTTGAACACTGTATTTACTTTTCCTGTATTTAAAATCTGTATATATTGTTCTTCATCTTATGTTTAGGGGAGAAAACCCTAGGGCTCTATACATTTGTTCAGTATCTTTGAACATTTACTGAGTAATGATGATACTAAGTTAATTTTTCTGCATCTCATGTCTTGCAGATGCATGTCAATTCCTGTGACCATGAGAGCTATTCGGAGAAAGGCAGAGACAATCCAGGCGGATACACCAGCCTTGTCCCTAATTGCTGAGACAGTTGAAGACATGGTTAAGAAGAACCTGCCCCCTGCTAGCAGCCCAGGTTATGGCATGACCACAGGCAACAACCCCATGAGTGGCACCACCACCCCAACCAGCACATTCCCTGGGGGTCCCATCTCCACTTTGTTCACCATGAGCATGGGCATCAAAGAACGGCATGATTCAGTGGGCCATGGGGAAGACTTCAGCAAAGTGTCACAAAATCCCATTCTTACAAGCTTGCTACAAATCACTGGAAATGTGGGCTCCACCATTGGCTCCAGCCCCACTCCCCCACACCACACACCTCCCCCTGTGTCATCTCCTGCAAGCAACACCAAGAACCATCCTATGCTCATGAACCTGCTGAAGGACAATCCAGCTCAAGATTTCTCCACTTTGTATGGGAGCAGTCCACTTGAGAGACAGAATTCCTCTTCTGGTTCTCCTAGGATGGAAATGGGACCAGGGTCCAACAAGCAAAAGAAGAAAAAGTCACGTGTCCTAGTGGAGAAACCTAAACATCAGACTGAAGATGATTTCCAGAGAGAGCTGTTCTCCATGGATGTTGATTCACAGAACCCCATCTTCGATGTCAATATGACCACTGACACTTTAGATACTCCCCATATCACTCCAGCACCCAGCCAGTGCAGCACTCCGCCCACAACCTATCCGCAGTCAATATCCCATGCCCAGCCCAGCATTCAGAGGATGGTTCGGCTCTCCAGTTCAGATAGCATTGGTCCTGATGTCACAGATATCCTTTCCGACATAGCAGAGGAAGCATCCAAGCTACCAAGCACCAGTGAAGACTGTCATCCTATGGGAACACCAGTAAGGGACTCATCCAGTTCAGGGCACTCTCAAAGTGCTCTGTTTGATCCTGATGTTTTTCAGTCAAACAACAGTGACAACCCATACACCGATCCAGCTGACTTGATTGCTGATGCTACTGTGAGCCCCAACAGTGACTCTTCAAATCAATTTTTTCCCGATGGTGTTGATTTCAACCCTGATCTCCTAAACAGCCAGAGCCAGAGTGGTTTTGGAGAAGAGTATTTTGATGATAGCAGCCAGAGTGGAGATGCTGATGACTTCAAAGGTTTTGCACCACAAACGATAAGTACTCTGGGCGTTCAAGTGCTGGGGGGAGATGGAGGGGAGAGTAAGTTCAAGGCAAGTAGCCAAACGGACACAGTCGACTTTAGTATTATCACAGCTGCCAGCAAAGCTCTGGGAGCCTCTGATGTCATGGAGCATCATAGTGGAAGTCAGAGTCCTTTACTGAGCACAGGAGATTTGGGGAAGGAAAAGTCACAGAAGCGGGTCAAAGAGGGTAATGGATCTGGGAGTTCTTTAACGGGCCCTGGGATGGATGGCAAGGGTGGAAAACGCAGCCGCACCCCATCCAGTGATGGGAAAAGTAAAGAAAAGGTTCAGAAACGGAGGAAAGTAGAGCCAGAAGGCAAATCTCCCTCTCATAGTTCATCCACCAGGCCTTTCACCCCACCAACAAGCACAGGTGGCTCAAAATCTCCTGGAAGTTCAGGCAGATCTCAGACACCCCCTGGGGTAGCTACTCCTCCCATCCCCAAAATCACTATTCAGATCCCCAAGGGAACAGTGACTGTTGGCAAACCCTCCCATGGGCAGTACACAAGCAGCGGCTCAGTGTCTTCTTTGAGCAGCAAAAGTCATCACAGCCATTCTTCATCCTCCTCGTCCTCCTCGTCGTCGTCATCTTCCTCGTCTTCGTCTTCCTCATCGGCTTCCGGCAAAATAAAGAGCAGCAAGTCGGATGGGTCTTCCGGGTCCAAGATGAGCAGCAGCCTCTACTCGGGCCAAGGCGGCTCTGGATCAGGTCAGTCCAAAAGCTCCACCCAATCAGTGGGCAAGCCTGGGTCCTCCCCCATCACAAAACACGGCCTGAGCAGCGGCTCTGGAGGTACCAAGATCAAACCTCAAGGGAAGCCTTCATCGCTTATGAACCCTTCCATGAGTAAACCAAACATTTCTCCTTCTCATTCTAGACCCTCGGGCGGTTCTGACAAGCTGGCCTCTCCGATGAAACCCGTTCCAGGCACTCCCCCGTCATCTAAAGCAAAGTCCCCAATTAGTTCCGGTTCTGGAGGCTCGCACATGTCTGGGACAGGATCAAGCTCCAGCATGAAGTCCTCTTCAGGGATGGGATCCTCCAGTTCCATGTCCCAGAAGGCACCCCCTTCTTCAAATTCTTCAACAGGATCTTCATCTTCCTTTTCATCTGGAAGTTCTTCCATGTCCTCCTCTCAGAATCAGCATGGAAGTTCCAAAGGCAAGTCTCCAAGCCGAAACAAAAAGCCATCTTTAACTGCTGTCATTGACAAACTCAAACATGGTGTTGTCACTGGTGGTCCTGGCGGGGAAGACTCCATGGATGGACAGATGATCCAGAGTTCCAGTTCCTCAAGTCACTCCATGTCATCCAAACACAACCTGTCTGGAAGTGAATTGCAGGGGAAACGGGAAAGAAGTGACAAGGAAAAATCCAAAGTATCTGTTTCAGGAGGCTCATCCGACTCTTCCAAGAAGACATCCGATTCAAAGAATGTTGGAAGCACTGGAGTGGCCAAGATAATCATCAGTAAGCATGATGGTGGCTCTCCTAGCATTAAAGCCAAAGTCACCTTGCAAAAACCTGGGGAAGGAGGTGGGGACAGCTTAAGACCTCAGATGGCCTCTTCCAAAAGCTATGGATCGCCACTGATAAGTGGATCTACTCCAAAGCACGAGCGCTGTTCTCCCAGCCACAGTAAGTCTCCTGCATATACCCCTCAAAACATTGACAGCGAGAGTGAATCAGGTTCATCTATAGCAGAGAAATCCTATCAAAACAGTCCCAGCTCTGATGATGGAATTAGGCCTCTTCCAGAATACAGTTCAGAAAAGCATAAGAAGCACAAAAAGGACAAGAAGAAACTGAAAGACAAAGACCGAGACAGGGATCGTGACAAAGAACGAGACAAAAAGAAAACTCACAGCATTAAACCAGAGAGCTGGTCTAAATCTCCCATCTCTTCAGAACAGTCTCTGTCTATGACAAGCAGTGCCATTCTTACATCAGAGAGGTCATCCAGGCCCAGCCCTGATTTTTCTATTGGGGAGGAAGATGATGATCTAATGGATATTGCCCTGATAAGAAATTGAAAATATTTGGGGAATAGAACAAAAGAGCTATTTCATGGGGGGGGGGGGGGTTAAATTAAAATAATGAGTGCATGGCACTCAAATGGGCTAGACTTAGAAATTTGGAAAAATAATCCAAATTTGACAAACCTTTTCAGTGCATTACTCTAGTAAGACAATTATTTTTAAAGCTCTTGGAAGCGTAAATAAATACACATACATGCTTCCAACAAATACATTGGATTTGTATTCCAGAACTGAAACTCGAGCACATACAAAAACATTTCACTGTAGGAGAATCAGATTCTTCTTTGAATGTTTCAATAATAGTTCCATTTTGGTGTATTTTTTAAATATATATATATTAGCATTTAAAATTTAAGCTTATGTGGATTTTACGATTCCTCCTTAAGAGTATTTCCACTGAGAAATAATTTTTCAAATTCATTTCATGCCAGATAATGTCCCACTTCCCTAAGGTGCTGACCATCTCCTGTTAAAAATGATATCTGCTATAGACACTGTGTACAACACCTAGCAATTTGGGGACTGTCACCCAAAAAGTGAAGTATTCTGATATTCATGTGTTAAACCTTAACAGTCATTTGACTTAAAGCATTTTCCTTCGTCCCTATGAAAGGTTTGATGGCTTTCATGTATGTCTTCTTCTATGTATGTCTTCTGTATTGTATTTTAGTAGCAATTGCTACTGTGTTCTCCCAACTTGGGAAGAAAAGGAAAGGGTAGGTTTAGTCAGAATTCAGTGAACAGGACATTTTTGTACTTCCTCAGCTGCTGTAATTTTAAATATAAGTTTATAAACATTTGAGAGAAGAGAGTACGGTTAAATTAAATGGTAGTATGTCTATTGTGGAAGAAGCACTGCAGCATGGCCCTTTATACACCAGAAGTATAGGATCCTTGAACTCACATAGAAAAGAGTAAATAATGTAAGCATTGGCAGTTAATGCACAAGGAGCAGCTTTATCACTGCCTCCTTCTATGTGATATGAGGATTTTTCTGGAACATCGTGGAAAATATCTGCACTAGAAGTGAGGAGAGAGAAAGAATATGTGTTCAAGTTCACTTTATTATGGTCAATGACCAGTTCAAGAATATGTATGTAGTTAATATGATGTATGATCCCTATCCTTATGAGCAAAGAGAAATATCCTTGAACTTTTTGTTGATCTCTTGTCATCAGTAGCCAGTGCTAAGAATCTCATTTGGAACCTATGACTCTCATAACCCATGTGCAAAGCCTTTGTAGATCCTAATGCACAGATGAATCTGTCTCTGAAAGCTGATGCCTCATGCTTTTCAATATCTGTGCATGGAAGAGTGAATATTGCCAGGGTTCTAGAGAACAGAGTAGATCACACTAAATTGTCTAAATTGAGGACTGACAAAATACAAAGTCCATAACACTGGCCCATGCACTCCCAAATGTTTGCATCTAGCAAGTTATTACAGAATATATTTGCCCAACATATATTCTCTTAGTTGTGAACCCCCCCCCCACACACACACACACCTTTTGCAGAGTAGTCCCTTCTAGATGTATTGAACTACAGCTGTAGTGATAAGATTTGAAGTCTAAGCTGGTGTGAACCAGAATGGAACAGACTGATGCAATGTATCATGTACACAAGACACACAAATTGCAATTTTCATTACTTCCATTTCTGTTTCCATTGTTTCCAGCAAAAATTACATTACTTTCTTATTGTAAGAGAATAGTCATGAGTATGTAAGACACAAAGGTCTATGAAACACAAATGTGTTGTAATGTCCCTTACAATGAAGTCAGAGCACAAGACTTAATTGTGTGCCAGCTTAGGTCACAGTAGGTGGTGGTCTATTTAATTGCCACAGTGTTATTTTCACTTGGGAAAGTTGGGCTCTGAGAGTTAGTGTATGTTTCACTAAATGGGAAGCTCATTATTCAGAAGTTTTGAAAAAGCTTACTACGTCCTAGCAGCAACAGTATGAATGGTGTTTGCAAAATGAAACACTTTTAAAAAGCTGTTGGTATTGTATATCATTTGCATTGAGCTGTTATGTTTTCAAGGATGATGTCTGTGGGAAGCAGTGGAATATAATTGGTCCTTTCAATATGGAATGCTTATTTTACTGAAAGAGATACTGGTTCTTGGAACTATAATCCTGTTAGATATTTCAAAGTGGTTGTGGTCCCAAAACCAAATGTTCTGAATTATTTTTACTATGCTTTTAAATTGATACCTGTCTTGGTTCAGTAGCAGGGCTTTGAGTGAGATAGAAATGTTCATTAGGCTAAAACAAAGTTTTTCAAACTGTTCTCCAAATGTTTTGGACTTCAGTTGGTAAGGTGGCTGGGATTTCTGGGAGCTAAAATCCAAAACACCTGGAGGAGCACAGTTTGAGAAAAACACTGGGCTAAAATATAGGGTCCTCATCCACTGTGCCATACCCAGGCATGAAGAGATTCCATCTCTGGTCTGTCAGAGACACCATGCATGGCTGCAATGGGAAAAGAGAGGGTAAATACAGACTGTCTGTTCCATATGTGCTGAATGCTCAGGTTTATGGGTATTCAGCACATACAAAACATAAGGTTGGTGGAGGGAGTTGCCATTGCACCCTACGGAATTCTTCTTTGCATATATCGGAGCGAAATGTGTTCAATGCAACTCCGAAATCTGAAATCCAATGCAACTCCAAAATCTGAAATCCTACCAATAAACTAAGAACAATTTTGAAACCCATCTACTTTGGAAATGGAGCAAGATGGTCTATAATCCAAGTTTTCCCGATCAAAATTAGAGTGTGTTAGTACCTTATAGGGCTCTGTATTAAATCTTAATTTCTACAAATGTATTTAATTGATAACAATATTTTATATCCTCCAGTATTGTAAAGAGACATTAGTGACGAAGGGCCAAACCTTTTAATCTCAGGTAGAACCACTTAGATTACAAGGTTGTGTTCTTCCATTTTTAACCCCTCCCCCTTCATGTAAATAGTATGTCTCCACTCTTTCTTTGTGAACACTTGTGTAAATATGGCTGGTGATTCATGGAGTGGGGGGAGTATATTATCTTAATGGGTTTTCTGAAAATATTGCAAGTAACTTGCTTTTACATGGAAATAAATTTGTTTGGTAGAAACATCCGCTTCATCTCAATTATTGGAGTTTATCATTCTACTTAACTGTTTGGGAGACATTTTATAATAAAGTGCTGAACTGAAACTGAAGAACCTAAATACTTGTAGTACCATAATAAATAGTCATGTAGCACTAACTGTGGCATGTGACGATTAATAAATAGAAGGAGCAATCTGTTTTCCAGGAGAATTAGTCTAATAATAATAATAAAACTTTATTTATACCCCGCCACCATCTCCCCAAGGGACTCGGAGCTGCTTACATGAGGCCAAGCCCAACAACACATCAATAAAAACAACAAGCAATAAGCAAATAAACAATACAATTAATATAACTCACATATAGACAATAACACTCAAAGATTTAAAAACCTACAGTACAGTAGTGTGAGTGATCTATCAGTTCTCTCCAGCTCATAATTGCTTATATCAGCAATGTGCAGTTTGTACCTTTTAAAAGTTGAGCTACAATTCTCATCAATTCACTTTTAATTATAGAGTTGTCGAACAACTTCTAGACTGCCTCAGGTTGTCACACACCCTCTTTGTCCTGATCATTGAGCCTGTTGTAACTTACTACATGGATAGGATATACTAATTTTCAATCACATGTCCATGTGTTTACAGTTGTAACATGCTTAACTTTCTCTGAGGCCATCTACACTGCCCATTTAATATAGTTTTAAACTGGTATTGAAAAAATGGTTTAGCATGCCAGTTGATTAAATAGAAAATCCTGGAACCAGTTTGACGCCTGGATGGTAATTATGAAAACCACAGAGCACTGGCACTCATTAAAGATTTTCTTTCACACACTTTCGTGGAAGTTATCTGCCCACTTAATTTCAAAGCTACCTTCGAACAACACTCAGTGCTCGGTGTAGATGGGGCCTCAACCTGCTCTCTATGTCCTTTTGTTCCTAACTGGTGTTTACAATTTTTGATTTGATTTCCTGTAAATTCATGCTCACTGTTTAAGCCAGTCAAAAGGACATTCCCCCATGACCTTCTGGCAAACAAACTAGTCCAATGTGGGCTAGGCAAAACTACGGTGAGGTGGATCTGTAATTGGTTAAACGGACGAGCCCAGAGAGTGCTCACCAATGCTTCCTCTTCATCCTGGAAAGAAGTGGCGAGCGTAGTGCCACAGAGTTCCGTCCTGGGCCCAGTCCTGTTCAACATCTTTATTAATGACTTAAATGAAGGGTTAGAAGGCAGGATCATCAAGTTTGCAGGTGACACCAAATTGGGAGGGGTAGCCAATACTCCAGAAGAAAGGAGCAAAATTCAAAACGATCTTAACAGAATAGAGAGATGGGCCAAAACTAACAAAATGAAGTTCAACAGTGACAAATGCAAGATACTCCACTTTAGGCAGAAAAAATGAAATGAAAAGATACAGAATGGGGGATGCCTGGCTCGAGAGCAGTACGTGTGAAAAAGATCTTGGGGTCCTCGTGGACAACAGGTTAAACATGAGCCAACAATGTGATGCAGCAGCAAAAAAAGCCAATGGGATTTTGGCCTGCATCAATAGGAGCATAGTGTCTAGATCCAGGGAAGCCATGCTACCCCTCTATTCTGCTTTGGTTAGACCACACCTGGAATATTGTGTCCAATTCTGGGCACCACAATTCAAGAGAGATATTGACAAGCTGGAATGTGTCCAGAGGAGGGTGACTAAAATGATCAAGGTTCTGGAGAACAAGCCCTATGAGGAGCGGCTTAAACAGCTGGGCATGTTCAGCCTAAATAATAATAATAATAATAATAATAATATTTTTAAAAACTTTATTTATACCCCACCACTATCTCCCCAAGGGACTCGGAGCGGCTTTCATGAGGCCAAGCCCAATAACACATCAATAAAACAAAGCAATAAACAAAATAAATACAATACAATTAATACAAATCACATATAAACAATAACACACAAGGATTAAAAACCTATGGCCGGGCCAAACGTAATAATTTAAAATTAAAAAATAAACGCTGGGCATGAACAAGGTAGGATATATCTGGTATAGGGTTTTAAAAGAAATGCGGGAGCGCAGTCAACCTAAACCAATAATAAAGTGCATTCTGAGGACATATCGCTGGGAATTTTTCCTTATTCTGGGAACAGCCACGTTTCGAAACTCCTCCTAAAGACTGCCAATGTTGGAGCATGCCTAATGTCCTTGGGGAGTGAGTTCCAGAGTCGGGGGGGGGGGCACCATCGAGAAGGCCCTCTCGTCCCCACCAATCGCGCTTGAGAAGGAGGCGGGAGCACGAGCAGGGCCTCTCCAGATGATTGAAGAGATCGTGTGGGTTCGTACACCGAACTGCGGTCACGCAGAAGAGAAGGCTGAGAGGAGACATGATAGCCATGTATAAATATGTGAGGGGAAGTCATAGGGAGGAGGGAGCAAGCTTGTTTTCTGCTGCCCTGGAGACTAGGAAACTCCCAGCATCATGTCCCAATTGCACTTTACTAGAGATTAAGATTGTCTGCACACTGCACTTATCTCCAAAATCCTATCCATCTCACCTGTCATGTTCAGCATTTTAAAATTTTAATCATTACATTTGGCCCGGCCTTAGTGTTAAATGTGTCTTGGTGTTATTGTCTAATGTTTCTTGCTATTGTTTTAATGTTTATTGCTTGTTTTATTAGTTTATTTATTGTATTTGTTATGCTGTTGTTTTATTGATGTGTTGGGCCTCGGCCTCTTGTAAGCCGCACTGAGTCCGGGAGATGTTAGCAGGGTATAAATAAAGGTTTATTTATTATTATTATTATTATTATTATTATTATTATTATTATTATTAGGATGCAGAACAATGGCTTCAAACTACAAGAAAGGAGGTTACACCTGAACATTAGGAAGAACTTCTTGATTGTGAGAGCCGTTCAGCAGTGGAACTCTCTGCCCAGGAATGTGGTGGAGGCTCTTCCTTTGGAAGCTTTTAAACAGGCTGGATGGCCATCTGTTGGTGGTACTTTGAATGCAATATTCCTGCTTCTCGGCAAGGGGTTGGACTGGATGGCCCATGAGGTCTCTTCCAACTCTATGATTCTATGGAAAATGATGAGGGCAGGTTGCAGATTACTATTGAGAAATAACTCATAGACACTTCTGTCTTGTTATCTGCCATCAGCTTATGATGGTTGTACGCATAAGAGACTTCCAGGTCACTCTGTCAACAACCCTGCTCAGATCTTGCAGATTCAGGACTGTACAAATCTTTACTGGCAATTCTATGGATTTCATTCATAGGACTTTCATAGGCAAGGAATACTCTCAGGTGGTTAGCCTTACTAACTGCATTAATTCTACAGTGTAGATGCAGCCAGAGACTGGCCTCTGTTTAAATCCCCTTCTCGCTGAATTTCCTCCACCATTCCCCCTCCTGCCAATGAAGCATTCCTAGAGCTGCAAGCTGATTGGGTGAAAGCGTCTCTAAGCAGAAGTTGAAACGGAAGTTGCAGCAGACAAGCTTTTTCCTAGAGGGAACTAGTGCAATTATTATTTTTGTTCCCAGCTGGAATGCTGGTAAACTGGACTATGATGCAGGGAAATAAATTTTAAAAAAATCTGTTTCCCTTCTCAAGCCATAAATGGCAAACTTTACAGCTGATGAAAGGAACTCAATTGCAGAACTGGTGGAAAATCTTTTAACTGAAATAACTTGTGCTTATAAGTCATCCTTATTAAGATGCATCCAGTGCTGGCCAAAAGGTTGTCTCTAGTGCAGTTCTTTTGCCTGTCTGGCTTTTCTCCATCCTCACCCTCTTCTTCTTGAAGGATATATTTGGCCTACTAATCAGTGTTCCCAAAACTCTGATCTTCCATGTAATTTGAACTACAGCTCCCAGAATCCCTGATCATTGACCAAGGCAGCTGAGGCTCCTGGGAGTTGAAGTCCAAAACACCTGGAGTACTAGCATTTGGAAATCAATGTCAAAAATAAGAAATAATAATAATAATAATAATAATAATAATAATAATAATAATCTTTATACCCTGCCACCATCTCCCCAAAGGGGACTCAGGATGGCTTACATGAGATCACGCCCATCAATATAACACAAAAACACAACAGAAAATCAGAAAATAAAATAACATAAAATACAAAAATACAAAATATAAATATACAGCACAACAATATAAAATCAAAACATTAAACCACTAAAAATGAACACAATGGGCAGGGCCAGTTCAAAGATTAAAATTTTAAAACACTGGGAGGTAGGACAGTATAAAATATCAGCAAGGGGATCCGGTGGATAAGGTAAGAGTTCATTGCACAAACCAGAGAATAAAGTGCTTCTGAGGACATTTTATGCAGAGTTTGGTCAGGGATTATCATACATTCAGTCATTGAAGGCACATTGGAACAGCCAAGTTTTCAGGCTCCTCCTAAAGATTTCCAGGGTGTGGGCTTGCCTAATATCTCTGGGGAGCGAATTCCAGAGCCAAGGGGCCACCACAGAGAAGGCCCTCTCTCTCATCCCCACAAGTCGTGCTTACGATGAAGGCGGGAGTGATAGAAGGATCTCTCTGGAAGATCGAAGAGGCCGCGTGGGTTCGTAGACGGAAATGCGGTTGCGCAGGTAGGCGGGTCCCAAATTGTTTAGGGCTTTGTAGGTCAAAACCTGCATCTTGAATTGGGCCCATGTTTTGCAAAGTGCAGGTAAGAAACCTCAGCTATAGCTTTTGGTAAGAATTCTGCTTCCACCTTTTTAACAACACAGAACATGCTATTCTAGTTTGTACACTACACTATTCTTTCCTGTGTTTGCAGAAGTGCATTTTACACTGTAGAATAAGAGTTTGACACCACTAACTGCCATGGCCGAATGCTATTCAAGCATGGGAGTTGTCATTTGATGCACACTTTGGCAGAGAAGGCTAAAGACCTTGTAAAACTACAACTCCCATTATTCCAAAGCACTGAGCCATGGCAGTTAAACTGCGTTAATTCTATAGTGACCCGACGACCAAAATGTGGTAATATC